CACTGGTTTAGAGATTCTATGCTGATTTAACTGACCATTTGCAGACTTCACATAAATTGTGCCATTTGAAGGATCAACTCCTGACACATGATCTTTTAAAACAGTTTTATCTGCACCTGAATCACACAGAAATTGAGCAGTTTTGCCTTGCACAGTTAACGTGCGAACTGGTTTTACTTCTTTTCCTGACAGATTTAACAATACTTCAGTCAAATCTAGAGTCTGAAACACAGGCTGTTGTAGATTCTGGCAAGCTAAGGGATCATTTGTACATGTATGTGTGTTAGCAGTGTCAACAGGTGCTAGTCATTTATTATAATAAGGGTTTCTTGGATCAGGGCGTTTATACTCTTCAGGCATGCGATCAGGACACTCCCTTGCATGATGGCCCATTTCCCCACATGCATAGCACTTATCATCTCTTTTACCACGGTTATCCTGGGGTCGCCATGGGCCTCTACCTCTCCTACTCCTGCCTCTATTTTGCCCTCTTCCAGCCTGTCCCTGAAACAAAATTTCATCTACTAAAAAGGCAGCGGCCTCAGCGCTTTGTGGCTTCTTTTTTTTATTTTTAATAACTTCCTGTGCATGGCGGGCCCAGTTCATGCATTCAACGGACCCGTCAGTGTTCTGATTAACATTTTGTTTTCTGATGAGAGCAGCAATGCGTGGATGGAAGCCATTCATCAGAGCATGTTTTAACTGCTGTTGATATGGGCTGGCCTTCTCCGCACTCTCTTCAAGGCCGCTGTGTTCTTTGAAAACTTCCTCTAATCTTGCCCTGAACTCATGAACATCCTCTCCTTCTTTCTGCATGCATTGGGCGATTTTGTTGTAATCTACAGAAGCTTTAAAGGTATTTCTAAGACGCTCATAAACCCCATCAACTTGGCCTCTTAAATTTGCATGTCCATAGGGTAGGACGGTATTACCATCCCTCCCTGTGTAGGTGCCTCGCACCCGAGCCCAGTTATATGTGAGACACTTCCTAAAAGTGGCTTCTGTTTCCTGACCGTTTAAGCGGTACGAGGAGCAGAGTTGCTTGTGTCGGGCGATAAATTCATCAACATTAGTCAACGGGTTTCCTAAACCTTTACATGCCTCTGCACATTCAGATTCAGTCCATGGCCTGTAAACACAAATAACACGGCTTTGGTCACTTTCAACTCCAAAATGGGGATTCGCGACCTCCACCATGGGAAAGGTATCATGGATAGGGTAGGCATGCAGGCATACCAGCTGCACTCGCCTCATCCCTCTTAGTTTTGGATCTAGTTCCATAAGGGCTTAAATATTTTGCTGCGGCATCCCCAAACTCCTGCCGTACTCTGTCCTCCTCCTCTCTCTCTCTCTTCTCCTGCTCCTGCTTTTCTTCCTCCTCTCTGGCCTCTCTCTCCCTCTCTAATGCTGCTCTATGCTGTTGGTCCCTTAACGTCAGCACTACTGAAGTAGACCGCACCGTCTCATCTTCAGGTTTCACAGCTAATGCCTGCAAAGCTGCTCTCTTCACGTTCGCTGCCTCCTGTCTTTTCTGCGCCTGCTCTAACCACAGTTTAGCGGACGCCAGTTGTAACTCTCTCTCCTGTTTCAATTTCCCTTTTGCACAAGCTGCCTTTACTGTCAACTGTTCTACTAACATTTGACATTGTCCTACAACCAATTTACCTTCAAAATCATATTTTTTGCGCCAATGTCCTAAATACTTTGCGCTAGCGGGAGCGAATTTCATCATAAACTTCTCGTCACCCTCTGACACACTCTTGGTTGCTTGGGAACCCATAATAACAACAACAGCTGGCGTCACAGACCACGTGTTCTGCTCCGCACCCACTCACACAAACACACTCAAACACAACAACAACAACAAAATAGGCCTATTGTCCAGCACAGTCTGGACCCCGTGGAACTTCTCAACACCCCACTGAGCGGTGGAGAACTCACTACAGTACCCCACAAAGCGGTCTGTATTTCACCCCACTAAGACGGTGAACCAAAATAAAGTTCGAACTGCGCAACTCTGCAACTTAATGCTTCTGTACAAAAAAACCCCACTGAGCGGCTTTGTACATCGCCCCACTAAGACGGCGAATTTTAGCCCCACTGAGCGGCCACGGACAACGCCCCACTGAGCAGCGAAGACGTACGATTATAGAAGTAGACTTTTTTATAAACTTACTTGGGGTTGCTTACTGCGTGTAGCATCAGTCCCGAATCCCGTCAATCGTCATCCATCGAGGAGAAAAAAACAGACGGCTAATCCACCGGCCCGATGACGAATTCTCACGCCTCGGGACTTTGCTGCAGGACCTCTTTAAGTCCTGGCTGACGTCAGTCTGTCGGCGTGTCTCTTTTCCCCTCGGTGAATGTCGACTCCAGGGATCCGGCTCTCGAAGGACCAATTAATGATAGGTTTGTAGCATAAATCTATTCGCTGGAACGTTAAGGACAACTTGCTACACAGCAAAAAGCAAGACACAAGGCACCAAAGTTCTTTGTGTTACTCATGCATGAGGGAGACCTGCCTGGAGCCAAGTGTCGTTCCACCACTTGACCTCC